AGAGAGAGAGAGAGAGAGAGAATTATGGGAAGCCACGTTCCTAATGGTTAAAACAAATTCCCTTGTATATAAATGGTGCACTGCCACGTGTAAGATATAAATTATTTTTTTAAATTGTGGGCAGTTGGCAAGATTTGGGTCAAGTTTCTGTTTCAACTATTTTGATCCATATCTCTTTCCCCACTCCCACACGTTTCCTCATTTTTTTTATATAGATATTTTTATTATATCATATGAAAACAATAGCTTTCATTCACTTCACTGTAATATTATTGCACGATAAGGCAGAAAGAAAAGAAAAGATAGTTGCAACGTGATTTTGGGTATTCCAAGAAATTGTTGGAGTGTGAACCTTGTTTTGACTTTCAAAATTTAAGCAGTTTAACAACGTAGAATATGAGATGCAATATTTTTTTTTAATTTCCCGTTTAATTATTTTGGCTACATGTGGACGAATTTCATATTTATGAAAGTTAAAGTTATGATATTAATGCTATGATATGAATGATATGGTCATTCCGGTACAATGAAATGAAATGATATGATATGATGTGAGCTCTTACCGGATTTAAAGTTATGCGACGGTATGATATTCTGACACTTGTCTTAAAATTATTTTTCGGGATCGCACCATTAATGTGATATCCTATTGAGTATTCCCATGTACTCACCCTTTTCCTACACCTCATAGGTTAGATCGGATCCTGTTGGAGCGTGGTGGTTCGATGCGTAGTTGTGTCTCATTTGCTGGACGAGAATTTAAAATTTTAACAAGTAATTTTAGTTCATTGCCATAGACATCCTATTTTAAAGATTAAGTTATCATTTATGTTTATTTGCTACATGGATGTTTTTTTTTTGTTTAATTCATTTTAAATAGAGTTCGAATTATATGTTACTGCTTTTATCGATTTTAATGGTTAAAAGAAAATTGATTAACTGTCAAGTTCACATCAAAGACTTTTGCATTTTTCTAAGGCATCTACAGCCTTTTCAAAATTTATAACATGCTTGGCCAAAACAATGATTCTGTACTTCACACCAAATTTTCAATTGTCTGCCTACCACAGTTAACTTTATGCAGTGGAGTTGTATTATTCATTTGTACTTGGAATTGGATTTTATGATAAAAATATTCATAACCCGTATTCACTAATCATGCTAGTATAAAAGATGTTAAATACGGTCAAATGTCATTTCATTTTAAGATGATAATTTAAAATTTATTAATCATGTGGTTTCCAATAAATTTGATCCTTTTATAATAAAGTTGTAGCGACTAAAATAATAAAAAAATAAAAATAAAGATAAAGATAAAAATAAAAACTTTGGGTCGTGACATAATTGAATTCACAAAATTTTAGTCAACATTTCATCAACTTCATCGTCCGAAGTGATTACTTTCGAGGCCAGGCGCCAAATCCTTCTGTGGTGCATTTTCGACGCAATTGATAATCCATACATATGATAGATTTGACAACCTCGTAGGAAATCTGCTCAATCAACTTTTCAACAGGCTTGTGACGGCCATAGACAGTTAGGAATGAATGCAATCAATCATAAAAAAGCCCAATTTACAAAAATTCCCATAAATGCTACATATCAGTTTAGAAATGTATCACATTCTACATTATACAAATCATCAAGATAATTGTAAATCATTATATACAAAAACCATTGACTTAATCTATGTAGCATCAGCATCTCGACTCTTGACCACCGAGCCAACAGCGGCCTGATCTGTCCTAGTCACGAGCCACTTAACAACCTCTCCGAACACAAGTTCCACATCTTCATCGGGCTCTCCAACAAGCTGGTGCCACATTCCGGGATAAATTCTGAGGGTTTTATCCTTACTTGCAGCGCGTTCATACAGCTCTGCTACACAAGCTGGGTCACAGACAACATCATCGCCTCCGTGCACAATCAAAAATGGCACATCCACCTCATTGAATTTTCCTTGCACTTCTCTGCACACCCTCAGTAACTCTTGTGCTGTTGCCGCTCGTGGCCTTCGTAAGGGCCTCCTCGGGCTCGCTAGAGCCAACTTGCGCTTCCATTCCACCTTACATTGTTCGAGAAAGAGATCATAAAATAAAAAAAATACTGGAAACAAATGCTAAAAATACCTATTTCAATTCATTTCTTGTAAATCTTCTTCAACAATGAAAATGTTTATAATTAGAAACCATAACTCTATATCACCCTCAGCAATAAAATCACAAAAATAAACACACAAGAATATGCGAGATTTATAGAGGTTTACTTTACCGTGAGACTACGTCATCTTCCTCCGCTGCAATAGTTCACTATTAAGAAAGAAAAATTGCACAACCTATTTTCTCTAACCTTTATATCTCTTTTTTATATAATATATAAATAAACTCTAATGACGGCTCTATATTTATCGAGTTAGGACAAAATCGAAATTACATATGTGAAATTTATAAACTATCCCTGATGAATTTTTTGTCTGAAGATTCTTCCCCGCCTCCCAGGAGGAGGGATTCCTACCCCTTCAAAACCCACGATGACTTTACTCATGTAGTGATAATAATTAAACTCAACAACTTAATGAAAAATATATGACATAATTGGCATCTCTAAATTTAAACGTAGCAAAATACAAAACTCAATGTAATATGAGCTCAGACCAGCAATTTGATCTATTTTTATGATGGAATCCAAGACTCAATAAAATTGATCCCATTGAATTTTATGCAAAAAAATTAAGTCTGTGTTCTACAAAAGTTAATTAAAATTTTACTCATAGTCATGACTCACAGCTTTTCACCCGCTGATATCTTTCACCAGTACATATCTAACTTTTATTAAAATTTACAAAAAATCTGGTTTTCATTTAATCCAAACTGGGGATAAGGTAAAAACGTTACCTTGAAGGACACCAGAGGTATGGAGCCGCGGGTGGGAACCACGCACCAAGTGGGTACCAAAGCAGCCGCTATGGATAGGAAATGCTCAAGCGGCCATGGAGGCTTGAACTTATCGCTTATACCACACATAGCCCCATTCAATACGATGCCATCAAATGGCCTCACCGGCACATCCCCATCACGGCGGAGCGTGATCAGCAAAGCAATTGCCCCACCCAACGACTCTGCATACATAAACGCCGGCAAATTTGGGGCATAACGCGCACGAAATTTATTGAAAAATAGAATACATTCATCTACCACAAGATTGATATCGGGCATATGGGCAATTAGTCCCTCGGAATAGCCATGACCAAGATGGTCTATAGCGCAAACAGCAAATCCGTGCTTCGCGAGATGAACGGAAGTCAATTGAACGAACCAGCTGGAATCTCCCGTGTAACCATGGACCACGCATACAATACCCTTGATGGGGGTTTGGTTTGGGGTCCACCATTGTGTGAAGAGCTTGAGGCCCTGCTTGCTGGTGATGTATTCAGAGGCGTGGCTCACTGAGTGGCGAGTGTAGAATAGTTCGGGACTCAGTGAGCCAAATGGGCTCGTCTCGTTGGCTTCTGCTACAGGGTGCTTGTGCTCCATTGTTGCGGTTTGGAGGGGTGGGTTGGCGTGGGTAGGGTAATAAATAAGAGAAGGGACAAGGTGGGATATGGAGCCGTTGGTTGGATCAGTTATTGATCTCCCAAGAAATCTAGTTGGAGCTGTCAAATTTATTGAAAAGATAAAAGGAAAATTGCAACGGCGATCCTAACATTTTCATTTTTACACTTTATTCTAACCTTCATTTTGTGACAGCGAAAATCTTTAATCTTTCATACGTATGCACATGAGGTCTATCTAGACAGAAATCGTCCAAAATACCGTCAGTTAACTAACAAAATTTATTAAACTATCTGCTATTACGACGATTTTATTAGATGTTCATACATTTTTGGACGGTGCTTTTGAATGGGTTTATTAGATGTTGATTCCTTAATTTTTTCGATCAATTAACGATATTTTGAACGACTTCCGTCCAGATGAATCTCAAGTGCATATTTATGAAAGATTAAGAATCCCATTGGCACAAAATGAAGGTTATAATAAAGTCTGCTAAAACTAGAAAGGGTTCAGAATTGCAATTTTTCCAAAGATAAATGACAAAAATGCAAAATGGTGCTCAAGGTCAATGAAACAAAGTAAAAATCTTTAAGAGAGTGTTTGAGCCACATTATTTCGGTAATAATGAATTTTTGAATAGTATATTGATGGGAAATGTGTGGTTAAAAAATAAAGAAAATTTTTTTATCTGCGTGTAATATTATTTTATTGAAAAATGTGTGATTAAAATGATATGAAATCACTGTTTAAGAATATATTTTTTTGAAATAATGTGACTCAAACAGGCTTAAATAAAATCGAGTTTATTCCTCGTTAAATGTTACAATTTTACACACACACAAAAGTAAAACGTTAAGTTAAAAATATGAAATTTGAATTGAATTAAAGTGCAATGTTAAGCTAAAAATTTGAAAGTTGAACGACAACTTGTGAATGTACTAAATACTATGATCATTTTCGATATATTTAAGATGACTTTACATAAATAAGGTTTAATTTCTTTTTCTTCTTCCATGCTAGGTCACTCGTGGTTTTATCCATCTTACTAACAATTTGTAAGAACTTGATCATTAATGTCCATCTCCTTCGCCGTCAAAAGTTAAATTTATATTTAAAAAATAATAATAGTACACCATATTTTCAATTAAAAGAAATTTTAGTAAAAAGGGAAAATTTGACCCAAAAAAATCCTCCTTGATTTTGTCCCAGGACTCCCAGTCCCCAGAATGGACTCCAGGAGTCGATGGTACTTGCAGTGATTTTTCTTGTTTTTTTATTTTTATTTTTTTTTTCCCTCCCTTCCTCTTACAGCTTTCATTTTTCTCTATTTTTTAGTTTTTACTAAGAACTATTTACTAATTTCAATCCTAAAAATGTGAGAAGTGAGAGTCAAGAAATACGATTACGAAAACGTTAATCGAGAGACTTTCCTTCCATGGTTTATTCATAACCATCGTCAACAAGGGTTATCGAAGAAGCCAAACAAACCCATGCGCATCACAAGTAGATACGATTAGAACAACAGTTTCTAGAGAAAGAAAAACAAAGGTCAAGGTGAAATGTGCAATCAGAATTAAGCTCATACAATAATTTAAAAGGGTAAATCACACGACACATTAAACCTTGAGACCTTGCTACATGTAAATTAAGCTTTACATAATAGATTACGTAATGTCACATGTCACTCTATTATTCGCTAATTTAAAACACAATCAATTTTTTCATCTAATCTTTAGCATTAACTTAATTGCATTGGGAGGTTACATTTTCTATGAAAAAGCACAAGAGGACATTGCATTGTTTTATTGTGGATGCCAAAGGATGGGAAATGGACAAATTTTACATTAATGTTGGAAGATAGGTAGTTGCAACAACCAACAAAAACCCTCTCATGCATTCATTCTGAACACTCCAAGATTGCTTATCTTGTTATCTAATTATTTTCTATCCTATTTTTCTTTTTATTTCACATTAAAAGCATTTAACAATATTTGTTCGTGAATACAGCTTAACTCTTCGAACAAGCTTAAATAATAAATTATCAATTCTATAATTATCAATATTCAATTTAATTTAATTTATATTTCCTTTCTTACCATTTTAATATATCAGAAAGGGTCAGTTTGGCTAGTTTTCAGTTTCCCATTTACCTTGGAAGACCATCTCTTCCGGAAGGGAAACACTCGCCCACTCTTGTGGCAACTTCGATTCTGAATAGCTGCAGAGGTTGCCACAGCCTTACTCTTTTTCACCAGACAAAACCCGAGCCACTTGTGCATCGTGACCTCCAAAAACCAGGAAATATTTTGCTTGATCACAACTTTGTAAGCAAGATTGACGACATTGTATTTACTAGGCTCGTCCCTTCTTATGTAGCCGATAAACACAGTTCTGCTATATTGATCCCCAATATCAACAGACAGGAATGTTGGGTGTGAAATATGATGTTTACTTGGCTGGGATCATGTTTCTAAAATTACTATCTGGTACACCAGCAATGGTCTTGACTCACCACATTGACTGATCAATCGAGATGGGGATGTTTGAACGGATGCTCGACCCTTCCGTGCTAGATTGGCCAGTAGAAGAGGCCTGGAACTTTGCAAAGCTAGCACTGCAATGTAGAGAATTAAGATGAAGAGATAGGCCGGATCTTGGAAATATTGTCATGTTTTACTGTATTGAATGGAACAACTGATTGAATCTCTCAGCCAATGACCAAAGATATAATAGCGAGTTTATAGTTATGATAGAATGAGTGAGCTCAGGCTGCAAAGGGCTCTGAAGCTTATCGTTGTACAGTTTTTTGCTAACAAGACCTGGAACAATCTTGTGTTCATATAGAAAGCCTCTGATTTGCCTGCATCGAGATTTCAATTTGAACATTAGCCACATCAAGTCAAAGCCAATACAAGTTGTTTACACATTATAGTATTTCAATACAAACTAGCTCATTGAATTGAATGCCAAACTAACTGAAAATGTTAACAAACTTCATAATTGCGTCTAATTTTGTTCATTTTTCACAAAGAAAGTTCACCTGGTCCCAATACCCAGTGGACAACAACTACCCACAAAATTTTTACTTATTTTTCTTAATTCCATTTGGTGGGATCCAATCAACATACCAAACAAGCCAAAATGGTTTTAGCTGATTTACAACACTTGCCTTCATAACCAAGAATCCCCAGTGTGATCAAGAAGCTTTTCTAGGTTGTTTACTCTTTTCTGAATCAATCTTCTCCTTTAGAGCTTCCCAAAAGGCAGGAATTGCAGTATCATCAGGAACTTCCTTGAATGAAGGGAGATAATTCACATCCACAATCACATGGTCACCAGTGCCTTCTTGAATCTGGAATTTCACAAAAGAAAACACTTGGAATCCAGAGAGTGACAAAATGTCAAAGAAAGTCTGTAAAATGTATTCACTCTACCATCTTCGTCCATCTCATGTCATACTAAGCACGTATTTCGAAGGTACCAGCAGAAAAAAATCAATTTATCATTACTTTATGTCCAGAAGATTCTTGAACTCATCCACCAGATTTTCAACAAAATTTTGGAGCTGGTTTAGACCACAGATTCAGTGAGATATGTCATATCATTCAAAAAGCTCGGGAATTGTCTTCTTATCATGGTTTCAGGTTATTGTCTCATATGGTTGATTATTTCAAAACAAATACATGGTCTAACCCAAAGAAATACGACCTCTCTAAGATATACGGTTTATGCCGAAAGGTACAAAGTTGGACTAATTTCCAAAAGACAGTTCAAGAATTCTCAGATCGTTATAGTTTTTACTGACCAAAGATGGGAGGTCAGAACAACATTAATGTAGATTAAAGCAGAAAGTTATGAGGAATGTTATCCTAGAAGCCGAAATTCTCTAAATGCTAGGGCATGAATTCAATCAAGATACTACTTTACACCCTTTCAACGTTCTAGTTTGTCGAATAACGTACATTTGGCTAAATCAATTATAAATGGTCAAACTTTATTTTCAACACACATTCCAATAAACCTCTGAGTACAATCCACTTATCCCACCAATCAATTCTATCAATTTATAAATTAAACAGTTTATAAATTCTTCCCAAACGAATACTAAATGATTTTTCTACTCTTTCACTATGAGAGTTAAGAGTTAACTCAGTAGGGGATTCAATCTCAAGTTACCCACATGCCATAAATCAATTCCTTAAGATGGCTAATTTCAGTGAAGAGATTGCATTATAAGAGATCCCACTCCCTCCTCTAATGAAATTCTTATTCATTAAATTTTCTCACGTCTTCGTATCCCAGGATATTATGTCACGTGTTTGATTTTTCTATCTTTTGGATAAACTATCCGCAAAAGCTAACACGGCCATTCTGCAGACCATATCGTTGTTTATATATGCTAAAAAAGTGATATATTACTAAATAACCAAATACTCACAACAACATCAAAGCCAAAAATTGTAAGGCCAAGCATCCTTCTAAGCCAATCTGCAGCATCAGTAACAAGGCCAAGATCAATATGCTGATCATTGGAATTGAGGTGCTCTTGACATCCAGATTGCAGGTTTTCTTTAGCAATGGGTAGAGATTTTAAGCTGCAACATAAAACAGATTTTTCATTTGTCTGCGTATGCTACCGCATGGCTTATCAGCATTAGCATATGACAGCACAAAAGACAAGGAAAAGTGAAAACAAGTGATGCCTGTCAAACAGCAATGGTTTGAGTCCCTTCTCCTCAGATAATTTCATCAAGGTATCTGCATTAGGTGTAGATTTCTTAACTGCATAAAATATCTTCCCCCCCAAGGCGTAGAATTTATATAGCAAAGATGAATGATCCACGTACTCCTGTAGCAACACTTAATTTCTTATTTTCCTTCCAAGAATAAAGTCAAAATAATCAGCTGAAAATATATCATCACACAGCATTTGCAAATGGCTTTCACAAGCAGTGTAATGATCAACATTAAAACCTTAATAGATACACTGAACAGATGCGACCACTTGTGACTATAGCATTCAAGACCTGAAATCCATTTACAGCAGACTGATATCCTTCGTGAAATTCACAATTCACGATGAATAAGTATAAACAAGTTTTTTTTTACAATGATATTTATATAGATGGAAGCACATATCAATGATGCAAGAAACAATCTGCAAGGTCTTTCACCAACAGAACAAGACAAATACAAAACTTAAGAATCGAGTAATGCACCCACCAACACCATGTTAACACTAGAGCCTTGGATTAACAATATCAACATACGTGTGGACCCTCACCTGCACAACAGCTGGAAGAGGAACATCGAGATCCTTGTAGTCATCCACCTTGAAAACAATTGCCTGCAACAGGAAATATAAAAAAGACTAACAGGGAAACAGCCTTCGGCATTTCCAAACAGGATGTAGAGAAGTCCTACCCGAAAATTAGTAATTACAACAGCATGTTCTGTAGCAAAAGCCATTGAATATGAACATTATCTACTAAAATGTCCTGCAACTACAAGCTGCCAAGTTATTTTTCTCCTCCAGAGATATCGCTCTTTTACATCTATGATTGAGGAAGATGCATAGAAATGTTCAGCTTGTCGTGATCTCTCTTTTAACTATAAAATTGACTCTGTAGATACCGATTCATTACCTGAAGAACAAATTAGACATTCTAGGAATTGCTAGTGAAGCAGGGGGGAATTGGTGGGTATGCTAAGAGCAATTGCGATTAAACATAGGTGGGGACAGGAATTACATCTGGGAGATTATTTGATTGTTAGAAACATGGCATTGGAAACTTGTTTAACTACTCATACGGTTTGATATCCCCATTTATTGACATTAATTTCTTGCTCTCTTGTTTTTACATTGATATGTTGCACTTTAGTCCCAAACATTGGTTGGACTATGTGTAGGTCTACAAGCCACGTGAAGCATATATGTCACCAAATGGAACCACGATAGATGGACACTATCTGACTTGACTAATCTAAAACTGACTTACCTTTTGGCTCAAGAGTTAAAACAAGCCAAGATGGAAAAAAATTTCAAGCTCATAATCTTTTACAGCTAGATCGAGCTTGACTAATTGAAAGATTATTTAGTTTAGATCTACGAGTCAACAGAAGTTGTGATGGAATATATTTTTAAGTTCATAATCTTTTCAAGTTAGCTTGGGTTTGGCTCAATTAATAATGAGATACAATAAAACATGACAAGGAGCCAGCCAAGTCGAAATCCAACTAGATTTGCTCAAAAACAAATGAACCAGGTACAAAAAATTTTTGAGGCTTCTTCTTCATTACAACATTGGCCCAAGATTGAATAGTCTAAAACTAGGCTCAGACCAGTTCCTTTACAGGATACTCCTGAGTCAATGGAAATGAAACGACTGCGCAATGGTATTGGTAGAAACAATTAGGTGATGGAAATGGACTGTAAAATTAAAGATTCTTTGACAATTAAAAGAGAATATAAGGGAAATTAAAACGGACATACCATACTGTGAGCATCAGCTACACCACAAGCAACTTGAGGTTTCACTATATTTGGAAGAGCCAACTTGGCTTCAACTAGACTTTGTTCTAAATCCAGCTCATAAAAGCTATCAACCTACAATCGAAGTTCACTTCTATTTAATCTGCTGACAAAGCTTAGCACAGTCTGGGAAACTAATTGTCACCAATATCAGATTTATATCAGATTTAATTCCTTTTTACCCTTCAAAAGTGCTTCTCCTTCTTTTCTTTCTTTTTTTGTTGGATAAAAATAAAATGACCACTTATGCAACATTTGAGATTGGACTTTCCATTATAACACTACATAGACTGCCAGAGATTTATAACTTTTATAAATGAAATGAATTTGTTGAAGAAAAATAAAATAGCAAATGTTCTTCTGAATTACATCAGAAACGCATTCAATTGAACATTTAGGTTCTTTTGATACAAAGTTCATCTAAAAATATTCAATTGAACAAGAGGTTATTTTGATGTGAAGTTCATATCAACCTTAAAATAATTGTTTTGTAGTAGAAGGTATTGATTTTATCGAGCATATCTACTGGATGAAACAGAAGAAAAATAACATGAACTTTTGACCTAAAATATAACCCTTGTTTGAGCCCCATTTTTATAAAAATAAAAATAAAAAAAATGAATTTTTGAATAGTGTATTGATGAGAAATGTGCGGTTAAAAAATAAAGAAAGGTTTTAGATTTGCGTGTAATATTATTTTATTGAAGAATGTGTAGTTGAAATGGGGTTACAACACTATTCAAGAATTCTTTTTTTTTCAAAAAATGGGGCTCAACAAGGGCATAATCACTTCCATTAATTTGACTGAAACCATACTGGCAATTTATTCCTAAAGGCTAAAGCAGACTTCCAATTTGCAGTGATGCAAAATGAACATTTTCTAGCTTCAATGCAAATCACTAAAACCAAAACAATTATGTAAGTATATACACACACACACAAACTTAGTGACTTAGTATAGGAGAATCAACCCATGCAGTAGTATGCAGTAGAAAATTAGCAACTAAATATTCAGGACCTTTTCAGCAATTTGGCACAAAAAAGCTGTAATATGGGATAAGTGACCTTGAGAAAATTGGGCCCCCTAATTTTACAGTGGCCTTTTATATTGAGATTTTCCAAACCAAGCAGAATCTGCTGAATTTTGAGACGGTCCAATACAGGGTAAATGTTACTGAATGGATCGATTACACAGCAATCTGGTTGGCATTCAATATACCTGAAAAGAATAATTTAAAAAAATAAACTTAGTTTGGTCTTATAAACATTGTCAGCTCTTGACTGCTTCTTGGGATCAAAAGCAATTATACATTTTTCTTCATACTTCTGTTCACATTTGTTGAAAAAAATTTCATAGCAATCATAACTTTGGTAATTCACATTTAACATCCACAAACATATATTTCTAAAAGCTTCTCCCTCATATTATATGATACACTGTTTTGGATTTTCTCATGAAGATGGACTTACTAAAATTAAAAACATATTGACACTTAGATTTCAATGTTGTCCCTTCAAAGTCAGTAAAAAACTGAGAAAAAAATGAAGTAAACTTATTTAAACTTGTTTAAGAACTATTATTAGAAAGTACAGAGAAAATTTCAGATTTTGAAAATGGGTGATGAGGCATCAAATATACCTACTGTTCTTAAAACTTGTCTAATTTTTTTTAACAAAACATCAACATGACCTTAGTGGATTTTCAGGCGCCACTAGCAGATGATGACGGGGGTTTGGATTCCCTAACCATATTTATATAAACAAAGTGCACGGGTACAAGGAAAGGGGAGCGTAAACCTGACCTTCCAAAAGCAATGAGATGCAACATATGAAAACAAGTAAAAAGAGGGGAAGTACTACTTCCCATACAAAGCAAGCAAATGAAAATCAAACTAGCATTCTCTAATGCTAAGAAAACCATATCTATCAATCCGTACAAGGGCACTAAGTCTGGTGGCATGCCCAACAATATGGACAGAGAGTATTTTGATCAAATGGACACAAAACATACATGTTCTTCTTAAAAATCTACCTTAAGCAGATAACTCACACATCTTAAAAATGATAGAATTTCAATACAATAAACTCCTGCCTCGTGAGCTTCAAAGAGTGATTATTCAATTAATCGATAGACATGATACGAGCTTTCAAAAGGTCCATAAAAGTTTCCCTTTGGGTGCCTGAAAGATCAAACTACTATGACAGACATAACAAGTTGCATTCAGACCACCTCAAAGATTTCATATTGGAGTTTTATACAAGGTAATGTTGAAAGCAAAAAAAAACTTTCCCTTTTCTTGGCAGTTAAATTTGACTTCTATAGTTACCTTTTCAACTGCTCCATATTTCTTGTGAAAGTAATCTGGTTAGCAAATTCTGCAGAACTGACCATTTCAACAGCCACAATCTCATCAGTTGCTTTGTGAAGAATTGCATCAACTTGCTGCAACTGATATGATATGGGCAGTTCATAATTAAGGGGCAAAAATATCAACCCATTTTCTGTTGGACGCAATGGGAAGGCACCTCTCTGCAAAATGAGGAAGACAATGCAAGTGAACCAGACAGGCAAACTCACGGTGTGTGGCAGAATGCTGTAGTTACAGTGAATAAATTGGACATAGACAATGTGAACGCATAAAAAATTATAAGTATCCACTATCTAACTCCATTTCACTTTGGATGAACGGATGGACATGATTGATTGACTATATGAAGGGTGTACATTATGAATCACATATAAAAAGATGCATTGATATCATTTAGACATGTAATACTGAACATGCAGCAAATATATCATTCATGAGTTCCACACTATCACTAAGCAAGTCAGAAGACAGAAGCTGTGTTCTAAACAAGTGTATTTCAAATGAAAAAGTCAGTACTCAGCCCATTTGTCAAGCTTACACAATCTTGCCAGAAATTAATTTATAAAATAGGATTACCTTGGCAAAATCTTCTTCCCGAGAACGCTTCATTACATAACCCACTGTCATGGTCTCTTTACCCCCTGCCTGTTTGACCTGGAAAATCAAAATGGAAGAAATTTTACCAAGAGGTTGCAACTTATAGAACAATATACTAACAGAACTAGAAAAGGAAAGAGAGTGAGAGAGAGAAGGGAACAAGAATATGGAGATGATTTGTGGGTAGTTGCTAGGCTGCAGGAAGGAAGTTGAGAGGGAAACATGAATGTGATGGGAATGGGGAGCAGAAGATAGTATTCAACAGGTAAAATATGATGATTGTAGGGCAGGTAAAGAGGTGATTGAGCTAGAAAGGGCAATTTTTGAAATTCTGTTAATCAAACTAAAAGCTTATAAGCCACTTGGAAATAAGGATGCCAAAGCTCATCCAGAAAGAGATTTTTTTGAGGTAAAATCTTTAAAAATTTTAGCCCCGGACTACAAAAGCTTAAAAGTTGTTTTGAGTAACATAAGTTTGGCCATACATCCTAACATGACGATATTTGTGGATTAGGATGCAGATAAGTTAGGAGACGTAAAGATTCAAGGTACAAGGTGTCAAGGATTTGAAAAGCTTAGAAGTTGTTCTGACTAAACATAAGTTCGACCAAACATCCTAACATGATGAGATATTTGTGGATTAGCAAGCAGATAAGTTAGAAGATGTAACAATTCAGGGTGCAACATGTCAACTATCTTGTTAATGAAGCATCTTAAATCATCAATACCCTGTGAAACATAGAGCTCAAGTAGAGAAGCTATATTACTTCAATCATATTACAACTAACAATTAATGCGCATATGGTTCCCCCACATGACACACATAATCTCCACTTCCAATTTTAACGGCAGCACTTGCACAAGAAGTTGTGAGTCAAATGGTATTATATGCACAGTCGAGTGAAGTTCATTTGAAGTTCCTATGCAATAGAAGTAGTATTACATGATCTCAATGTGATGAGGACATCGGACGTTACTTAGTTTATTTACGCTTTATTTATGCTTTATTTATCTTTTGGACTATTATTTAGGATTTG